ATGATAGGTGAAGAAAATGCAGAGAGCATTGACGAAATCCCGAAGAATGAGGTTAGTCTCAGTGATTCACAAATAATGAAAATTTGCAACAGATATGATGAATAGCGTCTTTGCTCTGTAATATCCATGGTAACCGTTATAGGACTGTGTGCAGATAGATAGATATACAGATAGACACAGAGAAGCAGAGAAATCATTTTGGAGGAAAAAATGACAATCTAGTGCATAAAACATCCTAACAGTCAGTTACTTAACATACGTGTTCAGTTACCAGGACACCAAGACATAAACGAGTATTTATTTAGAAATCGTCGTTGATTAAATCGTCTTTAGTCTAGCAACTATACTTCGTTTCAATCAAAGGAAAGACAGACTATCTATTTATTTATTTATCTATTTATTTACTCATGTATCTATTTATTTATTTATCTATTTATTTACTCATGTATCTATTTATTTATTTATCTATTTATTTATTTATCTATTTATTTACTCATGTATCTATTTATTTATTTATCTATTTATTTATTTATCTATTTATTTACTCATGTATCTATTTATTTATTTATCTATTTATTTACTCATGTATCTATTTATTTATTTATCTATTTATTTACTCATGTATCTATTTATTTATTTATCTATTTATTTATTTATCTATTTATTTATTTATCTATTTATTTATTTATTTATTTATCTATTTATTTATTTATCTATCTATTTATTTATCTATTTATTTATTTATCTATTTATTTACTCATGTATCTATTTATTTATTTATCTATTTATTTATTTATCTATTTATTTACTCATGTATCTATTTATTTATTTATCTATTTATTTATTTATCTATTTATTTATTTATCTATTTATTTATTTATCTATTTATTTATTTATCTATTTATTTATTTATCTATTTATTTATTTATCTATTTATTTATTTATCTATTTATTTATTTATCTATTTATTTATTTATCTATTTATTTATTTATCTATTTATCTACTTATTTATTTATTTATCTATTTACTTATTTATTTATTTATTTATTTATTTATTTATTTATCTATTTATTCATTTATTTATTTATCTATCTGTTTATGTATCTATTTACTTACTCATGTATCTATTTATTTATTTATCTATTTATTTATTTATCTATTTATTTACTCATGTATCTATTTATTTATTTATCTATTTATTTATTTATCTATTTATTTATTTATCTATTTATTTATTTATCTATTTATTTATTTATCTATTTATTTACTCATGTATCTATTTATTTATTTATCTATTTATTCATTTATTTATTTATCTATTTATTTACTCATGTATCTATTTATTTATTTATCTATTTATTTATTTATCTATTTATTTATTTATCTATTTATTTACTCATGTATCTATTTATTTATTTATCTATTTATTTACTCATGTATCTATTTATTTATTTATCTATTTATTTATTTATCTATTTATTCATTTATTTATTTATCTATTTATTTACTCATGTATCTATTTATTTATTTATCTATTTATTTATTTATCTATTTATTTATTTATCTATTTATTTACTCATGTATCTATTTATTTATTTATCTATTTATTTATTTATCTATTTATTCATTTATTTATTTATCTATTTATTTACTCATGTATCTATTTATTTATTTATCTATTTATTTATTTATCTATTTATTTACTCATGTATCTATTTATTTATTTATCTATTTATTTATTTATCTATTTATTTATTTATCTATTTATTTATTTATCTATTTATTTACTCATGTATCTATTTATTTATTTATCTATTTATTTATTTATCTGTTTATTTGTTTATGTATTTATCTATTTATGTATCTATTTATTTATTTATCTATTTATTTATTTATCTATTTATTTATTTATCTATTTATTTATTTATCTATTTATTTATTTATCTATTTATTTATTTATCTATTTATTTATTTATCTATTTATTTATTTATCTATTTATTTATTTATCTATTTATTTACTCATGTATCTATTTGTTTATTTAGCTATTTGTTTATTTAGCTATTTATTTATCTATTTATTTACTCATGTATCTATTTATTTATTTATTTACTTATCTATTCATTTATTTATCTATTTATTTATTTATCCATTTATCTTTTTATTTATTTCTCTATTCATTCATTTACTTATCTATTCATTCATTCATTCATTCATTTACCTGTTTATTTATTAACTCATTTACTTACCTATCTATCTACTTATTTTGATATATAAGTATAGTGTTTTCGTGGAAATCCTCAGCAACAAACCACTCCTGTCCTTCTACCAGTTTCGACTCGTCCTCGAGACTTGCTTTCCGTCGCGTCCGAAGCAGTGGTCGACATCTTCAGGAAGGCGAATCGACCTGCGTCTTCGCTCATTCTCTTCACCGATGGGTCGACTTCTTCTAGCGCCCTCTATCAGGTTACTTTCTTCTTTTTTGTTTTCGTTGTGTAATAGAGAATTGGTAAAGAGAGAGAGAGAGAGAGAGAGAGAGAGAGAGAGAGAGAGAGAGAGAGAGAGAGAGAGAGAGAGAGAGAGAGAGAGAGAGAGAGAGAGAGAGAATCGTTTCTGGATTAATGTGTGTGTGTGTGAGTGTGAGGATGTGATTGATATTCGCAACGTTGAGTTATATATTTTTTTGCGTTGTGGAATTGTTAGTTTTTAATTCGTATCTCCTAAATTTGTTATTTTCTATATTTATTTCTACAGTTTAATTAAGATGACCTATAAGTGTATTTACACATACACAGGAGTGTATGTGTAAGCAATATATATATATATATATATATATATATATATATATATATATATATATATGTATGTATATATATATATATACACATACGTGTATATATACATATATATAATATACATATATATATATATATATATATATATATATATATATATATATATATAATAAAATATAACCCCAAATTTCCCGTTAACGTAAATAATAATAATAAAAATAATAATAATAATAATAATAATAATAATAATAGTAATGATAATGGTAATAATAATAATAATAATAATAATAATAATAATAATAATAATAATAATGATAATAGTAATAACAATGATAATAATGATGATGATGATGAAGATGATAACAACAACAACAACAGACAGTTACCAGCCTGGACGCAGCCTGGGGTGTGAGTGTCTTCCAGCTACGAGATGCAGACTGGAAACCTCTTCTCAACCAAAGCCGTTTCTCAGACGTAATCGGATTGGCTCGTAAGGTAAGTCATACAGAGGGGAAGGGAGAGGGAGAGAGAGAGAGATGGAGAGAGGGGGAGAGGGAGAGGGAGATAGGAAGAGGAAGAGAAGGAGGGGGAGAGGAAGAGATGAGAGAGAGGAAGAGGGAGAAGCCGTGGGAGAGAGAATGAGAGGGAGAGGAGGGAGAGAGAGGGAGAGGGAGAGAGAGAAAAGGGAGAGGGAGATGGAGAGGAGGAAGTGAAAGGGAGAGGGAGAGTAGAGATGAGAGAAAGGGAGATAGGAGAGGAGAGAGAGAGAAAGGGAGTTGGGGAGAGGAGAGGATGGGAGAGGAGAGAGAGAGAGAGAGAAGAGAGAGAGAGAGAGAGAGAGAGAGAGAGAGAGGGAAGAGGGAGAGAAAGGATGAGGGAGAAAGAAATAAGAAGTGGAGGGGAGAGGGGAGAGTGAAAATGAAAGGGAAGAGAGGATGAAAGAGGTGAGGGAGAGAGTGAGAAAGAAAGAGAGAGAGAGAGAGAGGGCGAGATAGAGATAGAGGAGAGAGAGCAGAGAGAGGGCGAGAAGGGAGAGAGAGAGGCGAGAGGGCGAGAGGCGAGGAGGGCGAGAGGAGATGGCGAGAGGGCGAGAGAGAGAAAGAGGGCGAGAGAGAGAGAGGGAGAGAGAGTAGGAGGAGATGAGAGGAGAGAGAGAGAGAGAGAGAGAGAGAGAGAGAGAGAGATGGGGAGAGAGCAAATGTAAGCTACTGGTAAACAAAATGTGCATTAAAAAAAAATCATCATTAAAACGACCTCAAAATTAATTCCCGAACATCACTGAGCTGAAAAAGGAAAATATCTTTTCAACTATTCATCCACAGTATATATTTCAGTATTTTTTTCTATAACCATTATTCTCAGCTCATATCTCATTAACATTCACAATCCAACAGGTGCGTCTCTCCTCCCGCACTGTTTCGGTCATCGTCGTAAGTGAAGACCTGACTTTCCTGACCTCGTTCGCCGAGAGGTCACTGCAAGGTCGTCTGTTCGTGTGGACGACGAGGCTCCTACTTGTGACCCGAGTCGCGCTGAATGATCTTCGAGACGTCTTGAGTTCCCGCTGGACGTTTTCTATGATGAACACCATTGCGCTTAACGTCGAAGAAAACGGGAGGTAGGCCTCGACTGTTCGAAAAAAAGGCGGGTGACGTAATATTACTTCAAGTCTTGGGCGGATCGATTTACTCGGATTTTTGTTGATAGCGTCGGTGAACAGGCGATGAAGAAGGAAATGGGGATAAATAGCACAGGGAAAGGAAAGAATGAGGGGTAAATTCCGTAAAGTATAAGGAAGAGAAGAGAATGAGAGATAAAGGGATGTAATAATAGGGAAGAAGGGATAGGAAGCACAAAAAGAGAGAGGACTGAGGGGTAAATAACCTAAAAACATTGAAAATGATATTATGAGGCAAATAAGAAAAAAATGAGAAGGGAGAAGGAACTGATAGGTTTAGTGACATTTAATGAGATAGAGGGAGACAAAGAATACACATAACTAACGAAAATGCAAAATAGAAAGTCTCGTCAGCTTACCTAATAGAAAACATAAAAAAAATGTAAAATAGGCCTATGGAAAGAGGGAGAGAAAAATATACATAACTAAGTGTCAAAAAAAGTCTCGCCAGCTTTACCTAATAAAGACAGAAGAGGAAAATAAAAAGTACAGAGAAAAAAAAGAAAAAAATGTACAACTATTTACAAGTCGATTATATACATCCACTTACGGAAATCAGAAAAAACGAGTCTCAGCTTTACCTAATATAGACAAAAAACAAACAAAAAAAAACTAAATTAAAGATATATAAGGAAACAAATCAAGCAAAAGAAACCTTTACAACTCTTTGCAGATCGAACTTATGTAAAGATTAAAAAAAAAAAGATACAACGAAACTAATAATAGAGACAAAAAAAGTTACAGATAAAATAAACTGCACAACTCTTTCCAGATCGAGCTTATACGCTCACATACCCTACAGTCAAGAGGGTTCTCAGTGCTACAAACTGGGCTCTTGGTCTCGAAAATTTCGCCTTTTCCTTCGCTCCCCTTTCGAAATCTTCACTGAAAAGTATGAGAAGTAAGTACAGCCTTTGTTAATACGTACGTGTGTGTTGGCTTACATTCGTTAAGGAATAGTGAAAGGGTTTAGTACGTTTGTTATTGAGTATGAATGAGAATGGAGCGAGACGGAAAAGATAATAGGTTCGTTATAGCATTGTCTAGTGTGTAATATTTTAGCGTGTGTGTATGAATATATTTGTTTTGTTCTTAGATTCTTTATCTTGGGTGAACAATGGATTTTTAGTGTTGCTTCAATTTTCTTTTTTATTTCATGTTTAGCGATGTAGTAAGTAAATCAATATATAGAGTATGATTTCGGTTTTAAAGAATGAGGTCTTTTATTCCTCTCTCTCTCTCTCTCTCTCTCTCTCTCTCTCTCTCTCTCTCTCTCTCTCTCTCTCTCTCTCTCTCTCTCTCTCTCTCCCTCCCTCCCTCCCACTCCCTTCCCCCTCATCCTCTCTCCCTCTCCCTCCCTCCCTCCCTCTCCCTCTTTGTACCACTCTTTACCACCCTAAACCACATAACAAAATAATCGCCATCACTACACCAGCATTAATCCAACAGTTTCCACGGCGGGTACGTCAACATCACATCTGGTGTTTGGTCGCCGTTTTGGGACGAGAAGGAGGTCACGGCAGCTGACGGGTCAAAGGTCAAGGAATATAGTGGCAGCGACTTCATGGCACTGGACACCATAGCGAAGGCACTCAATTTCCGCATTCGACAAGTTCCCACGAAGGATTTCGTCGAGGTTATTAAAACGTGGTTTGTTATATGCTGCTCTATATATACTTACAATTACTAGTAGGCCTACTTAGAAGGGCTGAACCTCTCTCTAATCCGGCATTTTCGGATTTTAGGGGCAGCGTAATTTGTTTTTATAATAACAGAAATGAATTGCCCAGAAATATCGTATTTTAGTCTCGGTAACAAATAATTATTGTCATGAAATGTATTTGTAGACGATAACAGTGTAATTGCACACAGCAGTAACAATACTGATTTTTTCTTTTACTAATTGCAAATTAGAATGGCTAAAAAACACCAGAGAATCCACATTATGCTATACTATTCAATAAGAATAAATGTATAATTTTCCCTTCGTATCTGAGGCGCTGCAAATGTTCCTAAGTAACGTTCTTTCATGATTATAATGACAATTTTGTGTATTTCTGGATGGAAATATCCATAAGACTACGATTTTTTATTACTATTAAAATCACAATTACTGTTAAAGTAACTATTACTATCAAACTAACCATTGTTATTAATATAACCATTGCTGTTAAAATATCCATTACTGTTGAAAGAACTTACTGTGAAAATAGCTGTAACCAGTAAAGTACATGTCACTACTATCATAACTATAACGACCATCAAAGGAATTGTTACCACTCAACCTACCCCATTAGAACGAAACCGCGGCCATTCACAACACCCAAACTCTCTTCCAGGTAACGCGAAGAGTAGAGGAGAGAGTGTCATTCATAGCTTCCATTTACTACGTCGTGCTGGTGAATCGCCTCGAACGCCACGACTTCACCTACACTTACCAGTTTTCTTACGAGAGCTTCTGCCTCGCTAAGCCCGGTCTGAGGCCACAGTGGGAGAGCCTGTACTACCCTCTGACTCACCAAGTTTGGGCTGGGACGGTGACTGTGCTTGTCGTTGTGCCCCTGGTGTTGGTTGTGGTGAGTGTGGTAGAGCTTGGGTGTGCTGTGTTGTTGTTTAATATAGTGAGTGTAGACTGTGTATTTAGTAAGTAAGATAGTAAGACTGTGTGATCAGTATATGATGAATGAGGGATGGTGAATGAACGGGAACATCTTTTTTTTTCTTTTTTTTTACTATTCCCTTTAAGAATCGACACAGCTCTCATGACATTGATGATAACAATTAATATACTAAATATATCGTGAATATACATCCAATCAGTTTCGACCCGCATATAACAACAAACAAACCAACTAAAATAACTATCCCAACGCAGATGGCCCACCTTAGAGGTCGGTGGGACGCCGTCAGGACGTCAGACATCTGTAAGCTTTTCCTCGAAGTGTTCAAAACGTTCGTGGGTCAAAATCTAACGCAGTCTGCCTTCAAAGCGACCTCGTCTCGTCTTGTGGTCACGGCTTGGCTCGTTTTCTCTTTCGTCATCGGGGTGGCTTACAGGGGTAACTTAACTGCTTCTCTCACTCTCCCTGTGTACCCTCCCAGGCCTGAAACAGTGGCTGATCTTGTAGAAACTGTGGAAAGGTGAGGAAATGCATTAGTTAGTAGGTACATGTGAGTTTAGTGATATATAGTTTTTTTTTTTTTCCTTTTTTTTCTTTTTTTTTGTCAAAATCTGGAATGTATTATTTGTAAGGAATATGTTTCTTCATATCATGGAATTGACTCTCTCTCTCTCTCTCTCTCTCTCTCTCTCTCTCTCTCTCTCTCTTCCTCTTCCCTTTTCCCTCCCTCCCCCCGTCTCTCACCTTCTCTCTTCCCTCCCCTCTTCCTCCCTTCTTCTCTCTCTCCTTCCCTCCCTCCCTCCCTTCCTCCCTACTTTCCCCTCTCCTTCCTTCCTTCTCTCCCCCCGTCCTCCTCTCTCTCTCTCTCTCTCTCTCTCTCTCTCTCTCTCTCTCTCTCTCTCTCTCTCTCTCTCTCTCTCTCTCTCTCTCTCTCTCTCTCTCTCTCTCTCTCTTCTTCTCTCTTTCCCTCCCTCTCCCCATCTGTCATACTTCCTTCTTCCCTCCCTCCCTCTTTCCTCCTTCCCTCCTCCCCCCCTCTCTCTTTCCCTCCTTCCTTCCCTTCCTCCTTCCTTCCCTCCCTCCCTCTTTCCCTCCTTCCCTCTTTCCCTCCCTCCCTCTTTCCTTCCCTCCTTCCCTCCCTCCCTCTTTCCTTCCCTTCTTCCCTCCCTCTTTCCTTCCCTCCCTCCCTCTTTCCCTCCTTCCCTCCCTCCTTCCCTCTCTTCCTCCTTCCCTCCCTCCCTCTTTCCCTTCATCCTTCCCTCCTTCCCTATTTCCTTCCCTCCCTCCCTCCCTCTTTCCTTCCCTCCCTCCCTCTTTCCCTCCATCCTTCCCTCCCTCCCTCTCTCCCCAGAGTGAATATGCCAGGCTATGGAGCAGACTGGAAAACCTTTTTCACGGGGTCAGACTCCCCTATCTTCCAGGCTCTGGGTAACCTCCTCTTCATCGGGCCTTCTATACACGAAGGGTTGAATTTGGCCAGTGAGAAAAAGTACGTTTATAGGCTGTGGTTGTGTTGATTTGATTTAGTGTAGGTAGGGTATGTAATATTTGGTAGTTTTGTTTCTGTGTGTGTATGTGTGTGTGTGTGTGTGTTTGTGTGTTTGTGTGTGTGTTTTGATAAATAGGTAAATAGATAAGGAAATGTATACACAGAATTGTTTATTTGTATGTTTTTTGTTTTGACAGATAGGTAATTAAATGTGGAAATGATTTATATGTTTCTAAGTTGTTCTTATATGATAATGACTTTGGTTTTAACTTTCAATGGTATTTGAGAATACAAGTCCGACGGTCAGAAGAAGAAGAATAGTAATAAAATAATAATAATAAATAAATAAACTTATAAGTAATAAATGAAATAAAGTGAAATGAAACAGGCACCGCAAGAAAACGCACAAAAACCAACCGTAACAGAAAACTACACGAACCTTCAACCTTTTTAAAAATCTCTATACTGTTCTCCCTCCTCCTCCTCCTCCTCCTCCTGCGCTTCTCAACCTACATTAAAACTAAAAAAAAAAAAAAAATCTCTCTCCCCCTTTCAATCACAACCCCCACCTCCCCCTCCCCTTTTCAGCCAAGCTCTCATAAGTAGTTTACGGTACCTGGAATACACCATCGCCCAGGACTTCACTGATGTCAACGGCCGGACCAAACTCTACATAGGAAGGAACCCCATCTTTCCGAGTCCTGCCGCCTGGCCCATACCCCACGACGCGCCATACAAACCCCAACTGGACCGTTATCTCATGATGTTCGTCGAGGTGAGTGTTTGAGATTTCGATTTTTTTTTTTTTTTGGGGGGGGGGGAATGGTGGTTAATAGTTGAGTTTAATGACCACCCTGGCTATCTGCTCAGGCGTGGGCAATCGTGGTTACAGAGATTTGCATATATTCGACATAGTACCGTATTATGTGATTACTGTAATTATACATGGTGAAATAAAATCATAAATCATTACTCATACGAAAGAATATTGCGTTGATATGCTTTTTTTGAAGAAAGCGGGCGTAGATTTCATTGAAACATGGCGCTTCGAGCCGTGGACTTTCTCTCTCCCCCTTTCAATCACAACCCCCACCTCCCCCTCCCCCTTTCAGCCAAGCTCTCATAAGTAGTTTACGGTACCTGGAATACACCATCGCCCAGGACTTCACTGATGTCAACGGCCGGACCAAACTCTACATAGGAAGGAACCCCATCTTTCCGAGTCCTGCCGCCTGGCCCATACCCCACGACGCGCCATACAAACCCCAACTGGACCGTTATCTCATGATGTTCGTCGAGGTGAGTGTTTGAGATTTCGAATTGTTTTTTTTTTTTTTTTGGGGGGGGGAATGGTGGTTAATAGTTGAGTTTAATGACCACCCTGGCTATCTGCTCAGGCGTGGGCAATCGTGGTTACAGAGATTTGCATATATTCGACATAGTACCGTATTATGTGATTACTGTAATTATACATGGTGAAATAAAATCATAAATCATTACTCATACGAAAGAATATTGCGTTGATATGCTTTTTTTTTAAGAAAGCGGGCGTAGATTTCATTGAAACATGGCGCTTCGAGCCGTGGACTTTCAATGCTGGCGGGTGTGTCCGTAGATTTTCTTGGTCTGATTTTAGAAATTTTCTTTAGTTGTTTTATGTTTTATGGCACGATATTTAATGTATTTCAATCTATTTTACCCCATAATTTCCCTGATATACTTCATGCCCTCCTCTATTATCGGGACTATCAAATCAAGATTGTTGGCTGGATATTGAATTCCGCTAATCAAAAATGATATACGTCTGCTGTATGCCTATACTCGTCACGGATTATCGTATAGCAAATTCGTGAACACGGAATAAATATCTAGAAAGAAGTACCATTTATCTATTTATAAACATATGAAGTAAAAAAAAAAAAAACTTTTAGCGTGTGGAAGCTATAAAGTCCAGCGTGATCGTCGAATGTAGTTTTTTTTTAATGTTTTTGGAAGGGTAATATTGGTGCTAAAATACAAACAATACAAACACTGTGGCCCAACTGGCTCGCCGTCTTATAGTGCTGTTTTTGAATTTTGATATTTGGGAGAGTAAGGAAAATGGAATACAAGCACTGTAACGCCTGCAAAATGACATCTAACACTTACCTTAAGTATATTACCATAACGTAGTATCTATCTTTGCTTATTTAAAGATTAAAAAAAAGTTTTTTATATTTGGAAAATTGACACTACATACACGGTTTTACCCCACGTAACAACATATCAAATGCACATCAAACACACGACACTCACTCTATTTATAAGATATAATGATGCAGTAAAGTATTTTATTATAGACACCCTCTTTGACACTAACCCACTCAACTAAATCACTGATGACACGACTCAACAGAGGAATTACCTAACCAAAATCTATTTTGACTTTATAAGGAAATTATCTCTAATCTTTCAGTAGAGTACGACAGCGGAGTTATAGGCAGTTCCTGTGTGTAATCGATGAAAGTGATTTAGCAATTCAAATACAGTGCTAGGTTACAGTGGTTATTTCTATATCCATATAAAAATCAGAAATCAGTAACACATTTATGTAGACACGCAAGTGTGATGGACCCTAGTGCAACTCAGAGAGACCACCTATAATAACACTAGAACATAGGCCTACAGAAAAAAGGTAACCCACTCGTCCATCTCAAAACTTTAACCACAACCAGGGTTACCGCCATTACCGCACATGATACGAATACGAAGCTAGAACCATGACTCGGCGTTGATTGGAGTTAGTCATCAGTGATTACCTTTGTATTATGACGTACGAACTCAAACATAACTGTAATACAAGTAAGTAGACATAAAATTTAACTGGAGTACTGACGTTATTATTAAAAAATTAGTTACGGACATACTAATCCAAAGTCGAGGCTCCATCCTCGCATTCGCAAGGTTTGCGGTAAAGGCTGCAACCCCACCCACAACCCCGCCTTCTCTCCCCTTCCAGAGCGGCCTATACAACAAATGGATAGAAGAGCTTATCGAGAAAGCACGGCGAGAGAGCAGCAGGAAGCAAGAACAGCAGAGGAAGAACGACCCAGGGACAGAACACCTCGGGGACGGACCCAGGGCACTGACGGTGAAGCATATGCAAGGGCCTCTCATGCTCCTTGGCTTTGGCTTAGGAGCAGCTGTGCTTCTCTTCCTGGCCGAGTTTAGTCTCAACTGGAGGTTCCTCTGCGCCCTTCGGCAGTCGTAGGGGCATGGATTTGTAGTTTTGTTTATCGAATAGTTTGTTTTGTGTTGTTATGACTGATGTTGGTGGAGCTAATATCCTTGTTATTGTATTATTATTATTATTATTATTGATTATTGTTATTTATAATTATTTTCATTATTATCAATATTGCCATTATTAGTAGTATTTCCATTATTCTTTTATTATTATTATTATCATTATTACTATTATTATTATATTATTATTATTGCTGTTGTTGTTTTTGTTATCATAATAATAATAATTATTAGCATTAGCATTATTATCATCATCATGATCACCATTATCACCATCATTATTGTTATCAAAAGTAGCAGCTGAATACCCTCACTCGAAAAAAGTCGAAATTATTTAACAGTATACGGTAAGGCTACGCTATTCAGCCACGCAGATAAATTATATAGACATGGCTCAATTTTGAAATATAAAACAAGGTTAAAACTGATTTTTAAAAATGTATTTATCTATGTCTACATCTATCTATCTATCCATATATATATATATATATATATATATATATATATATATATATATATATATATATATGTATTTATAGATATTTATTATATGTATTATATATGTATATTTTTTTTTCTTTTTTTTCCCTCTTTTCTTTTTTCTAAAGTTTAATATAAACAAAGTGTACAATCGATTATGGATTGTGTTGTTTACATTCATTTTTTGATTTTGCAATCACTTTACTATAACTGAAGAAAACCATATATCTTAAATGTAATCAATTTGACTATTTTCTGAGAATAATCCTT